ATCATGATTTTCTCTTTTATCTTCTCTTCAGGGAGGCCCATTTTTCCTCCTTAACTTTCTACCTGCATCTACCAGGTATGTTTTTTCCTCCAGCAAGAGGTATTTATGATTACTAGCAATTTTAAAGATGTTCAAGGCTCATTTTATCCTCCCTAGCTCAGGAATGAGATACACTGCGTTTCAGTGAATATCTAAATTCCTTTTATTAGGCATGGAATCTGAAGCCATAAGAAGGCTCACTACAACCATTGCTTTCTAGGGATAATAAAAAAGGCTTAAAGTAGTCTAAGGACAAAAGGAATAATCTCAGAGCTTTCAAAAATTTCAAATAAGCACATTTATTGGGTGCTCCTATTTCCTTGATCCTAAAGATACAGTGATGAACAAAAATAGACATCATCTCTTCATAAAATTTGTAGCCAGTATATTCATACATTTAATGTCCAACTTTTCATTCATTTATTCTCCTAACAGATATTTAAATGCTAGATATTCATAGGCACTTTGATAAATGCTACAGGTTCAATGACAAATTATATTTACTCTCAGATATCTTGTAGTCTAATGGCACCTGAACTTAATTCCATCAGCATTTCTTGTACGTGTGTGTATATATATGTGTCTGTGTATACATATATATATATATATATGTATAGTATTTATCTATCTTACCACTTCCAGTTTTTTGGAGAATAAAATGATCAATCAATCACCATTACTTATAAAAAGAGAATCAGAGAAACTGACCAGGACTTGTGAATAGAAATCAGGGCAATTATAATTGGACAATTTTCATATACTTTGGGTCTCAAAATAAAAGTCATGAAAGTAAAAACAGCAAGTGAAAGCATCCTGTCTTCTTGGGTAATTCACAGGAACCTCTATTCAAGCACTGTGGCAGCTGACCACAGCACAACCCAGTGGCAGTTACATATTCTAGGCATATCCAGTTACCTGACTTTTTCCCTTAAGATAAAACAAATTGTGAAATTCACAGAAAAAGAGAGCAGAAAAGTGGTTGTCATGGTCAGGAGAGAGAAGGAAATGGGGAGTTACTAATCAATAGGTATAAAGTTTCAGTAATACAAGATGAATATGTTCTATAGATATGCTGTACACCACTGTGCCTACGGTTAACAATACTGGATTCTACACTTAAAAAATCTGTGAAGAGATAGAGTAGATCTCATGTTAAGGGCTCTTACCACAGAAAAATAAAAATAAAAATTTTTATAATGCAGAGAACACACGCAAAAAATTGCAGAATTGAAATATTTTAGTTTCATTTTGCTAGGGCCTCAAAAACCCCATTTGTTAGTAAAGATTAAATATCCCATATTTCCATCTTTATATATAATGTGACTTCACTAAAACCTAAAACCTAAAAGCTAAGATGCAATATACATTTTAGCTGCTAATCTCTAAACAATTTAAAATTCACGGATAATAACCAAATTAGTCACTGTTAATTTTTTTCAGACAAATGAATATTTCCAAACAAAATACTAAAACTTCAATGTATATCCAATTCAATTGATAGTAATACAACCCAAATATTAATGCTCATTGTATTGTATCTCAATCCATTGTTCTTATCAAAAGTGTGGGTTACCAAATTGATCTTTGATGAATAACTAGGGTATTTGATCACATCTTTGAGTAACTGTAGAAATGTTCTGGAAAGGAATCAGGAGGATCAGATTTGCAGGTTGGTCTATTTTAGGGCATACACTGTTGTGTACATTCATTATATTCATCTCTTCAGTGCTGAGATCATTGTTCTCTTAGCCTATCTAGCATTTCACCATATTAATGTTTCCTTTTGCTTTGTATCCGTATTCATGAAGGAATATATCTCAAGATGTGAAGAACTACATATGCTTCACTAGTCCCTAAATGTCTTTGGGAGAATTCCTAACTCTTAATTTCAACATTATCTGTATGCTTAAACAAAGATGGGTGCCAATGAATATATTGGTACTGTACCTACCACAATCAGCCTCCACATTCATGTCTTCAAGTCTTTTGTGAATACCCAGACCACCGTTCCACCAACATGAGGAACCACACATTGCTGAATGAGTTCATTCTACTGGGAATACCGCAGACAGAAGGACTGGAGCCTGTGCTCTTTGTTATCTTCTCATTCATCTACCTCTTCACCCTGCTTGGAAATTCACTCATTCTTCTAGCCATCGTTTCTTCCTCCACCCTTCATACCCCCATGTATTTCTTCTTGGGACTCCTGTCTATTTTTGACATGTCGTTTCCATCTGTAACCTGTCCCAAGATGCTATTCTATCTCTCTGGCCAGAGCCGAATCATTTCTTTCAAAGGATGTGCTGCACAGCTCTTCTCCTATCATTTTCTGGGTTCTACTGAAGGCTGCCTCTATTCTGTAATGGCTTATGACCGCTTTGTTGCCATCTGTCACCCACTGAGGTACATGCTCATCATGAAACCTGGAGTCTGTGTGGGTTTGGTGATGGCAGCGGGGTTGGTGGGTTGTCTTCAGGCCACCATCTTGACCTCCTTTACCTTCCAGTTGTCCTACTGTGGCCCCAATCAGGTGGAATATTTTTTCTGTGACATTCCTGCTGTCTTACCCCTGGCTTGCACTGACAGTGCCCTGGCACAGAGAGTGGGTTCCATAAATGTTGGCCTCCTGGCTTTCATGCTTCTGTTTAGTGTTTGTGTCTCCTACGCTCGCATTGGGATTGCCATATTGAGAATCCGTTCGGCAGAGGGCAGGCAGAAAGCGTTCTCCACCTGCAGTGCACACCTCACTGCAATCCTGTGTGCCTACGGACCAGTAATCATCATCTATCTGCAGCCCACACCCAAGCCCTTGCTTGGTGCCGTGGTGCAAATATTAAATAATATTGTCTCACCCATGCTGAACTCCTTAATATACTCTTTAAGGAACAAGGAAGTGAAAAGGTCCCTAAAGAAGGTGTTCCAAAATGTTATACTTACTATTGGGGAATAATCTATGGATTTTATGATGCATTTTATAATGAAATGTATTGCCTCTTAAAATCATCCTCCTATTTTCTCCTCTTAAATAAATAAGTGCATAATAGAAAATGCTTCCTCTGAAAGCATTGCATTTTGTTTCCTAATAAGATTTCCTGTGTTTGTGTGCCTCTGTAGTCACTGAGACCCTATGAATAACTCAAAGAATTAATATTATTCTTTGTGCCTTAATTCTGGGCAAGAAATCCACAGGACATAGCAAACAGCTGGAGAGAGATTTCTTGTTCCTATGATAGACAGCCAATTTCACCTGGTTGAAGACAGAGAGGATTTTTGGCAGTCCAAAAAATACCCTTCAGTAGTCCCTCTCTGTGCCAAGTCAACATTCATCTCTCTTTTTTTTCTTCTTTTATTTCAGCATAATAAGGGGATATAAATGTTAAGGTTCCATACATTGCTCTTGCCTTCCCTCCCCCCTTGAGTCAGAGCTTCAAGCATGTCTGTGCCCCTGACAATGCACAATGCACTTGTAATGTATATATATAAACTCATCCTCTCCCCCCAACCCTCCCGACACTCGATAAATGTTTTTTGTTTTTTTTTGTTTTTGTTTTTTTGTATAACATTTTGGTTAGAATTTATAATTTTGCCTTTACTTAGCAAAGGTTAGAGGTATGCCCTTCCCCTCCACCCTGTTCAGCGCGTCCCTCAGATGTGGATCTATTTACTCAACATAGTGCTCGAAGTCATTTCTTTGCTACACTTAGAAAGTAATTGTTCCTCTTTTCTCCCTATAAGCATTTCAGTTCTTTGGTCTTGTTAAGAGGAGTGTTAACTGCCATTTCCAGAGCATGGTCTGTCTTTTATGCATTATGATAAACATTTCACATATATAATCTCATGTAATCTTCATATCACCCTGGAAAGTGATATGAAGATTTCACTTTATACTTCTACATGTACTTTCTACATTTTGTAGAAAAGAGTTTGAGAATTACAGAATTTAAGTAAAGAATCCAAGGTTACATATTAAGCAGAAAATTGGACCTCAAACCCAGATCTAGTTAACTCCAAATGCCCTGCTCCTAACCCCTGCTCCTTGCGGCTGCCCTAAATGACCCACTTGGCAATTTACTCAGCTTCATTATCTCTCTTCAGAGCTCATAATACAAAGAAGTTTTTCACTGAATAACTAGTAAAATAAGCACTGATACAGACTATGTTTGTATGCAAGTGGCCCTCCATATCCATGGGTTCCCCCTTAATGAATTCAACCAACCACAGAACAAAAATATCCAGGGAATAAATGCCACAAAGTTCCAAAAAGCAAAACTTGAACTTGCCCCACACGAGTACTACTCTGAAGCCTCTTGAATGAAGTGATGTGTAGGCATTATATTTGTATTATAAGAAATCTAGAGATTGTTTAAAGTATATGGGAGGATACACATAGGTTATATGCAAATACTATACCATTTTAAATAAGGGACTTGAGCATCCTTGGATTCTGATATCTACGGGGATCCTGGACTAATCCCCTGAGGATGTCGAGAAATGGCTGTATGGACTTTACTAATATTTTAATTTATTCTGTCCTGGTACCCATTGTTCCCACCTGTAGTTGTTGGTAGCACTAAGATACAGCAATAAGTGTTTTGCCTTTGTAACACATGAAGTTATGGTAAAGCCAAGCTGAGGCCAAAACCCTCTTAACTCCTCCTACTGTGTTATGGTTTTCCTACTGTACCATGGTGCCACTCTTTAGTGTAAAGTCAGCAGGGAAGCCTTCCCATGCAGTGTTGCTGAAGATGGCCTAATTATGGAGTTCAACCAACACGCTTATTTTGTTCTCCCATCAAGGTACATTTTCCAACTTGGCTTCTAACAAGACTGGAGTTGATAACTATTTCTCAATTTTCTCAGAATCCAAGGAGAAAGAAGGGGTACTATTTACCTAGGATCCCAAAGACACACCAGCTCTTAGTTTTCATGACATTTTTGTTATGTGTAGTTTTTGTGTTCCATTTTTGCTTCCAAGAGTTTTCATCCTATTTGAAACCATTAAAAGAAAACAAGAAATTGAAAATATAAAATTAAAAAAAAAAAGTTGCTTCCCTTACAAAAATCACGAGGTAAATAGGACAAAAGGAAGGTCAATCAAGCATAGGTAAATGGCCTGAGGTGCTAAGTGAGGATTCTATGGCCCCTCTTAACTTGACTGGCAAAAGCTGAAGATCTCACAGAGTAGTATTCCCATGCTTTGGAGACGTCTATCCTAGATGATATGTTAGATCCAAGCAACTGTAGTAATAACATCAGTTTGCCTTTCTATTAATGCTGGATGTTGGTGGGAGAACCTGCATGCCACGATATCTGGTAAAGTCTGGATAGTGTTTAGGGACAGATACTCACCACATGGGTACTTACCTATTCAATGAATTTCTCTTCCAGACAATGGACAGCTGCATAAGGGTAGGGATTACGTGTGTCCTATTCACTGTTATATCCACAGGACATAGCCCAGTGACATAGTGAGCTTCCAGTGTAGGGCTGTTGAATGAATGAATAAATACCACTTAGCCATTCCATTATAATGTAATTGCATATTGATTAGCATAGAGGAACATGAGTGAAGTAATTAGGATACAGGATACATTAACATGCCCTAATTGAAGTATATATCCTCATTTAAGCAGAATTGAAGATATATGAAAGCCAGAAGCTGAATGACCACTTTTTTTGGTCCTTTCTAAATCAGTGTTGCAATGACTCATATTGCCAAAAATTTTATTAGACAATTTAAATCTTTTCTGTATTTCAAATCATCTAACATAAGATTTTATTTAAAACACACATGCACACGTACATACATAAACGTAATTATGTACACCACATCTTAAAACACACATGAATACCACATCTTAAAATCTGACCCCATCAACAACAAAAAAGCAAATAACCTGATTGAAAAATGAGTAAAGGACTTAAATATATATTTCTCCAAGGAAGATATACAAATGACCAGCAAGCATTTAAAAAGATGTTAAACATCACTAATCATTATGGAAATGCAAATCAAAAACACAATAAGATAACACTGCACACCCATTAAGATGGCTACTATTAAAAAACCCAGGAAATAGTAAGTACTGGCTATGATGGGAGAAATTGGAAGCTTAGACACTATTAATGGGAATGTAAAAAGGTGTAACATTGTGTTTTCTCAAAAAAAAATTAAAAATAGAATTACCATTTGATTCAGCAATTCTACTTCTGTGGATATGTAAAAAGGACTTAAAGCAGGGTCTTGAAGAGATACATGTGCACCAATGTTCAAAGCAGCATTATTCAGAATAGCCAAGAGATGCAAGCAACCCAAGTGCCCATCCACAATGAATGGATAAACGAAATGTGATATACACACAGCAGAGTATTATTATTCAGACTTAGGAAGAAGTTCTGACACCTACTACAACATGGATGAACCTGGAGGACATTGTGCAATGTGAAATAAACCAGTCACAAAATGACAAATGTTGTATAAATCCAGTTATATGAGGTAGCTAGAGTGCTCACATTCATAGAAGAAGAAAGAGGAATGTTGTTGCCAGGGGTTGGGGATGTTGGAAGGGAATTGAGGGTGGGGGGTGTTGTTTAGTGGGTTTGGAGTTTCAGATCTGCAAGATGAAAAAGTTCTGGAGATTAGCTGAGCAGCAACCTAAATATGCTTAACACTACTGAACTGCACATTTCAAAATGGTTAACAAGTTAAATTTTATGCTTTGTGTATTTTACCACAATTTAAAGAAAAAGGCTGCTTATCCAATCTTCACATATTCTATGGTTTTTGACTTTACCAATTCTCTCCTTTTTCTTATAACTACATCTACTGTTGAGCTCTCTCAAATCACTGTTTATACCTGTTCAGCATGGACACAGAAAGAGTGAGAAATGTCACCCAAGGTAGTATTTCAGGAGATATACCCTGAATAATAATGAGTTACCATGTATTCAATCCTTACTCCTAACCAGGCATTGTGTAACTTCTTGCATATATTATCTAATTAATCTACATCAGAGTCCTGTGAGATCATTTTCTAGAAGATGAAACAAGGTTTAGGGATGTTAGGTAATTTTCCATAAGTCATTTATTTTATGGATATATACTGAATTCCATCTCAGATCTGCACATAGCTATACACAAAACAGCAACTTAGCTGAACTGTAAAAATAAATATTTGACCTTCCACACCACCAAAAAAAAATCTTATCCCAACTTTTTTTTTCTTTCAATAATTCTGATCTATGAGATGAATTCTACATTATTTCTTATTTCTGTCTTCAAGTCCTCCAAAAGTCTCTTCTCTTAGCTAACATTGGCTTTAATTTATCCTCATCAGTTTTCTTTCTCTAACCCTTCTTTTTGTTTTCTACAAGTCACTCTTTCTTTTCTATTTTTCATTAACCTTTCCCTCCTAGCTTCTCCAATTCGCCCCTTATCAATTCACTAATTCTATAAAAGAAAGATCTATGGAATCTACCAGTCAAAGACAGAATTCCATAGCAGTTGAAAGCACTAAAAAGATTGTGAATTCTTATATCTTATTTTCTTCATCCCCATAGAAATGTGTCTGTACATAAATGGACAATTAAAATGATGTATGTACCCAAATGTTAAAAATGAAAAATCTAATTTTGGGGAATTTTTTCTTTCCTTAATTATACTTTTTGTGTTATTTTTATTATTTTGCAATGAGTTTGTAACTTTTTTTAAAAAAAGCTATATTCAAGAGGGATAAAAGGACATCTCAATATGGGATCAAATGAGGCTGATTATCTAAACCAGAAAGTTTTAAAGGGGAAAGAAATCCAGAGTAATTCCTTAGGAGAAAAAACTAGACAATCATTTCTGAATCTCATGCTATAGTATTTATTATGCTAGAATTTGTGAGGCATTAGAGATTATGCCTAAACTCATTTGTAAGAAAACATTCTAATCGCACAGAGTGGGTTCTATTATTCTCGTTCTCATTTGTCACCCTCCTCTGCTGGTCCTGATCTGTGTGTTCCCAGAAGACATTGTGTGGGGGCTTTTCCTGATAATTAGAATCCAAGTGTGCTACTTAATGCACATTCGGTACAGAGACTTAAAAAGCAAAAAAGGAATTTCTGTTTTGGTATCATCACATGGAGATAAAGTAGGGCCTCAATCTACACACATTCCTAGTAGTATTTCTTTGACCTACGGACTATATTTTCTCTTTTTTCCTGACCAAGTACCTCAAAATCCCATAGCCCATGATCCTCCTTATCTGTCTCCCTGAACGTGCGTTTGCTTCCCCCAGGTGCTCTCCCCACGGGAGCTAGGATTGCCTCTCCTATTCTCTCGCTCTCCTACAAAATACTGAAACACAGTTCTGCTTAAAACTGCCGTAAAGTTTTAGAACCTTCTAATATAGAGACCACAATCTTTAAAGTGACCAACAGAGCCCTGAGGCGTAGTTTGCTTTTCTGCCTCTCAAGATTTATCTCAAGTTTTTTCCTCTCTTTCCTCGGGTTCTTCAAATATTCTAGGATTCTTTCCAACAAAGTCTTTGCACAAGCTATTACCCCACCTAAAAAGTTTTTTGGTTTTTTTTTTTTGCCTTCATCTTTCCTGCATTCTTACTCTTCTGATCTCAGCTGGAATAACCTTTTTTGTATTCCTCCCAGGGAAGTCCACCCCTACCTTTAAGAAACGTCACCCAGCCACACAAATCATGATGTAAATATGTACTCACTGACACGAAAGAGAAATATGAGTAGGACACAAATATTCTCCTGTTATAACTTTTCAATCTGTTGAATTTCTCTTCCTAGCACTTACCACATTAACTAATTATAATTTGTAGGTATGATTATTTGATTAATGCCTCTCTTCTACTAAAGTAAGCTCATTGGGGCAGAGACCACAGCTAATTCCTATTCATCAGGACATGGCAGTTTGGGACCATCATGGTAGCTGCTAATAAGTGTTTGACCTCACAAATGTTAAATTGACTTCACTGAAACCTCTAATTCATTCACATGATCTTCTCTCCTCTTGGTAGCTTTCTTGGCTTTACTCAGTTATGGAGTTCAGATTTCTTAACCATTCGTAAAATTAGTTCCAAATTGCTCAAACCCTTCTCTCCATCATGTCTCCCTGCCCAGTCTTCAGTGGGCTCATCCGCCTGCTGCACTCATGCACGCACCCTGCTAGGCTTTTCCAGAGAAAAATCACAAGCCAGGCAGTTTTGCAACACTACAAATTCATTATCGCCTCCCTCAAGCATCTGCTAGCAACTTGATTACTTTTCTTTCATGGTATTTCTCCCATTCCCTGTTGGAATGACTACTGACATGGCTTTAGGGCCTAAGACTTCTACTCAGCTCCTAGGTTCTGACTCACAAAGAATGAAAACAGGAATCACCAGCAAGTGGGGTATGAAAAGACCAGCAAGATCTCCACACTCCCCATCACAGAGCTCGCTGGTACGGTGAGTGGAAATACGGCTTAACCTGAGCCCAAGTGGAGACTCTTCTTTCTTGGTTGAATTGGAGGCCATAGAACCTGTACTGTAGTACAGGAGCTACCTGATTTATCTACCTGTTACAGGAGGGAAAGCTGACACAGGAGAGAGAGGGAGAGTAACTTTCTCCCCCCACTAGTTCTCCTTACTCTGTACCCTTCTCTGTCCAACACAGAGAGCCTAGATCAATACCCCTCCATCACCTAGTTTTCCACATGATCATTGTTACTGAGCACAGGGCTGTATGCATCGCAAGCCTTCGTGAATACGATAGCCTTTAATAAATTAAATTTCCTAAAGCGTAAAGTGTTTTTTGCATGATAACTTCCTTAATAAACATTCATCTGGTAGAGAAAATAGAAATCCTGAGTACATAATTTTGCTGCATAAAATGTAAATAAAAGACAAATTTAAGAACCTATATTTCTTTGAAATCAGTATGATTATGAGATGCCTGCACTCCCATGCGTACTGCAGCCAAGACATGGACACAGCCTTGGTGCCCATCAGCGGATGAATAGATAAGGAAAATGTGGTGTATATACACAATGGAATAGTATTCAGCCTTTAAAAAGAAAGAAATCCTCTCACTTGTGACAACATAGATGAACCTGGAGGACACTATGCAAAGTCAAATACACCAGGCACAGAAAGACAAATACCACATGACCTCGCTTGTATGTGGAATCTAAAACAGTTGAACTCATAGAAGAAAAAGAATAGAATGACAGTTACCAGGGATGGTGGGGAGATATAAAATTTCAGTTAGACAGGAGGAGTAAGTTCAAGAGATCTACTGTACAACATGGTGACTATAGTTAACAATGTATTGAATACCTGAAAGTGGCTAAGAGAGTGGATTTTAAGTGTTCTCACAACAAAAAATAAGTATGTGAGATAACACATACATTAATTAGCATGATTTAGCCATTCCACAATGTATATGTATTTCAGAACATGTTGCACACCATAAAAATGTACAATTTTTATTTGGCAGTT